ACAGCCCACCACAGAGCCCCACTGCTGATGACACTCAGAATCTGAACAGGGAGGACAGACCACCAGCTCCAGATGAAAGAGTAGTAAAGCAGCTGCAGGGCCAGGCAGCTCAGCCCCAGTCCCAGCATACCCACCCTAGACAGTTTCCTAAGCAACGAAGTTCTGAACGGATGAAAGAGAATTTCTCCTAGTAAGCCGAGAGCCACCGAGAAACCCATCACCAGCTCGCTGCTGCCATGGTCCTTCATGTGCCAGAACAGGAAGTTCTGCACCGTACTGCCAGTGGCTCCTATCCAAAAGACAGTGAAGGCGAGGAGGACGAGGCGGGAGTCACCCCGAATGAGGGACAGTGCTTTGATGGGTTTGTAGCTGGGTCCCTGCTGCTGGTCGATGGGGACAGGAAAAGCAGTGCTCACCGCTAAGGCCAGAGTACTGACCAGTGCGTAGCTGTAGAAATGGATCACGCCCCGAGGACCATTGGTCACGAGGAAGCATTCCAGATGCCCCACCAAGGCTGCGATGCCACATACACCTGCTGACATCCCCAACAATCTCCACATCCACAAGTTCCTGTTCCGGTCAGTGGCGTCTACAAAATCCAGGTATTCGTAAAGACTGTCATCTGCCACCTGCTCCAGAGGGGCTGTCAGCAGTTCCCAGAATGCCACGAACCCCAAGGAGAGAATGAAGGTCCACCGCGGCCCTTTGGAGGAGTGGCCAAGGGCCTGGTCCTCCCCCTGGGCCTTTGACAAGTTGCCTGGACTTCCAAGAGCTGCACTTCCAGGAAGTGTTCCCAGGGTAGTATTGTCCACCTCAAAAGTCCCTTCCTGGGAATTAGCTCTCAACCCAGAAATGACAGGATGGAGAGCTTGGGTAGTGGTCCTGGCTCCTTCAACAGAACCAGCTAAATAGGCCTGCAGACTGCGAAGTATTCGTTCTTGATTTTTACCAGATCCGTTTGGAAAGGCAGACGTATCCAGGGCTCTGGTGTGTCTGCTACCAGGAAGGCTGGGTGCTCCTGCCCAGTGGTTTGGGACTGACCCCTGGGCGGAGGCCATGGTCACAGTCCGTGTGACCGCCAGAGGTAGGACAGTGGTGGCCACTTTGTTGCTTCCATTACAAAAGTGGTTGCCCAGATTTCTGTCCACCGGTGGGACGAGGACCATCAGGAGGCTGGCTCCTGCAGAGCCCAGCAATGAGCCAGTCAGAAACATTCGCCTTCTCTGGTAGCGTTTGGCCAGGAAGGCACAGAAGGGAGTCCAGCAGGCTGCGACCAGATGCTTGGTTCCCATGAGGATGCCCACCCAGGGTGCGGCCACACCCAGATGCCTCAAGTAGAGGGTCAGGAATGGGGTCACACAGGCATCCCGGACCCCGCACACCAAGTGGAAGAGCTTGGCTACCCCCAGTGCCCTGGGGACGTCCCACTGCGGGTTGGGGCTCATGGCTGCGGGATTCCGTCAGACCCGGAAGGGCACAGGACCGAGCTGGACACAGGGCGCGCGAGACTCCATGTCCCGGGGAGGAAGGATCACGGGCTCAGGGTTCTGAGCAACACGGACGGCGTCTCCAGCCCTGGCGTCGCCTCCGGTCGCCTAGCCAACGGCTGCTTCCCCCCCCCCCACGTCCGGCCACTGGCCCGGAAGTGACCCCGCCCCAGGAGTGAGGCCCGGCGGGGCGGAGCCGGCGCACCTGTGGGCCTCAGTGCTGCATCTGCGCCCCACCTGTGAGTAGCGTCCTGTGATCCCCTGGCGCCTTTGGAGCTTGGCATGATAAAAGGTCAGGGCCAGGACAAGGAGAAGGCTGGGAGAAGGTTGGGAGAAGGCTGGGAGAAGGGTGGGGTGAACGACATCCACACACCTCTCGCCCTCAGGTCTGTATTCAGAGGCCCACTGGTCAACGGCCATCCACAGAGTTGGTCCTGTCCATTGTAAGTGAAATCGCAATCCCACCCGGCCATCACCGAGACTCACACCTCCCTTCTGCTTTGCTATTATCAAGTGCACTTTTGTCCATACTCCTTTTATTCACCTTATTGTTTTTCATCAGCACCAAAACTCCCAGGGAGGCAGGTATTTTGGCTCCCAGACCATAGAACTATTTCACCATAAGCAAACAGCTCCTAGAAGAGGTGTGACCTTGGATCATACTACATGTATGTTTGTTTACTCCCCCCCCCCCCCGAGGCATTTCCTATCTCACATGAACAAAGATTCTAGCAGTTCAAATCATTTGGGATTGTGTCATAGGCTTTCCTCCCAAATGAATGGCCAATCATCTAACTACTGATTTAATAATTTATTTTTTTTATTCTCACACCCAGGGCTTTCATGTATGCTCGGCAAGCACACTACCACTGACTTTTCCTTCAAAGCTTCCTCAATAAACCTAATTTGGCTGTGGATTGGAGAGTGCGGGTGTTTGCTGACTGGTATGTATGTATGTGTAGCTGAGTTTGACTCAATAATGGCTTTCACCGTAAGCAGTAGAGAGCTAAGATCCCCAGCACTTTCACTTAACCTTTCTGGCTGACAGACTTATAATGGTTACTTAAAAACTAAGGATTGAGCCGAGCGGTGGTGGCATAAGCCTTTATTCCCAGCACTCAGAAGGCAGAAGCAGACAGATCTTTATGAGTTCAAGGCCAGCCTGGGCTACAGAATGAGTGCCAGAATAGGCTCCAAAGCCACACAAGAGAAACCTTGTCTCAAAAAACCAAAAGATTGCTCGATGGGTATTAGGTGGGTATAGTGATGGTGATGCATGTGTGTGAGTCAACACTTGAGGGCTGGAGGCAGGAGAGCAGAGCTTACCATCAGCCTCAGCTATGTGAGACCTTATTTACAAAACTAAGCAAAAACAAAACAAAACCCCAAATGATCATGGTGTGTGGTTGCTTAGTCACATAATCCCATCATTTGGAGCTGTAAGCAGGAAAATAGGGGTTCAAAAATAGACTTAGTTACATGAGACTCTGTCTGCAAATATAAACCAATAATTAACCACACACACACACACACACACACACACACACACACACACACACCTAATTATTGTCAATGTTCAAACTGGTATGAGGCAGTTCACATCACCTCAGTGCAGAAAAGACAAACTCCCAGCTCAAACTCAAACTCAGTGAGATTGCAATCATTACCAGTTTCAAAACAGAGACTGCCCCCAGCCCCGTCTCCTTCAGCAGTCAGGCGTTACCCTCACTTGCCAGACTCCACACTCTTTCCCACAGCTGCATTCCTTTTTCTTGAGACCCCTTGGACTTGTCTGACTCTGCATACCTGAGAAAACATTCCCTGCTCCCTATGTCCATGGGGGAGCAGAGGCTTTCTGTAAGCCTAGACTGTCTTTGGGCCCGTGTATTAAGCTAATCCCAGAGCCCTACTTAATATCATTCTTGTTTTGCGAATGGGTCGTGGGACTTTGCCCTATTCCTGGGATAATGAGTTCAGAGGTAAAATGCCAGTGCCAACCCCCCCCACCCGTATTGATTTGAATGAGACTGTTCCTTGTACACTCAGATATTTGAACACTTGGTCCTCGGTTGGTGGCACTGTTTGGGGAGGGTTAGCAGGTTTTGCTGGAGGAAGTTTGTCACTGGGTCAAGCTTTGAGAGTTGTTTGTTTGTTTGTTTGAAGACAGGATCTTGTGGCCAGGCAGTGCTGGCCATGCCTTTAATCCCAGTGGTCAGGAGGCAGAGGTAGGGGTATCTCTGCGAGTTCAAGACAGAGATACTCTGTCTCCAAAAATAAATAGATAAATAAATAAATAAATAAGCAAGCAAGCAAGCAAGCAAGCCAGCCCTATTGGGCCCCTTAACTGCCACAGGCATGAGAAACTCTGTGTGTGTGTGTGGGGGGGGGGTGTGGACCAAAAAAACCAAGCTAACTCTGAAAGACCAAAACAAAGAAAGAAACAAACAAAAGACAGGATCTCATTACACACCCCTGGCAGGCCCTCAAACTCTCAATGTAGACCCAGCTGACCTACCGAGACCACCTGCCTCTGCCCCAAGTGCTGGGATTAAAGGCGTGCGCCACCACATATGACATGGAATTTGAGAATGTAAAGCTGTTTCCGGTTTTCTCCCTCTGCTTCATGCTTGTGTTTGAAGGTATGAGCTCTCTGCTTCCTGCTGCCATGGCCAGCTGCCTGTTGCCATTCCTTCTTAACATGATGGACTCATATTCCCCTGGAACCACAAGCAGTAAACTATTTCTTTCTCCGGTAGCTTTTAGGCCACGATGTTTTATCGTCACTCCCACCATCCTCTGGGGCTCAGGCTAGCTGACAGGAGGGAGGGGCTCAAGTCTAACTCCCTGGACTTAGTTGCTTTCTTTCTTGTCCACTCTGCCACTGGGGATGGGCCCAGGACACCACAGCTTTGTTTCTCCTTGATCTTTTGTACCTAAATTTTTTTTTTTCACTTGAAACAGCTTTTTTTTTTGTTTTTTTTTTTTTTTAATTCTTTAATCTCTGGTTTCTCTGAAGCTACCCTGCATTCCTGCCCCTTCAGGGGGAGTCCTGAAGTTCAGAAAGATGAGGTGAAGAAAGAGTAGGGGAACAGACCACGGCAGTGAATATGACACGAAACGACTAAGTGAACGCACTTGGTTACAATAAGCTCTGTCCTCTGACCTCTTTTGCAGTATAAACAGGGTCATGGGGATGCTTGCTGCCAAGCCTGACCACCTGAGTTCTGTTCTAGGACCCATACCATGGAAAGAAAAAACAAATGTCTACAAATTGTTCTCTTACCTACATACATGTACTGTGGCACACCACACTCACACACAGATACACACATACACACACACTCACACATAGACATACACACATTCACGCAGACATACATACACATACACACACATATACTCACACATGCACACACTTAAACATAGACACATACATTCACACACTTACACACAGATATACACACACATACACTCATACATGCACACATACACTTACACACACACACATACAGAAACACTTTAGTGTGCTTTTATTAATGCTGACATTCTCTTCTCTACTGAGACAGACCCACCTCAGCACCAGTGAACCATGTATGGCCTGAGAGCTGGAAAGGATGGTACAGACTCAGCTAAAGAAGGTACAGTTTCTTCTTGAGCAATAACACTGTATAAAAATGGTACCCATCAGCTCTGACCCCCTTTCTATGGTGCTGGAGTCAAACCCAAGGCCTTTCATAAACTAGGCATGTGCTCTACCACTGAACCACCCAGCTATACCAGCAGCCATTTGGACTCCATAGGGAGCTTGAATTGGTGATGAAGACAGTTTGAGAACTGGGAGATGAACATCAACACAAGAATGAAGTTTCTGGAAGAAGCTGGGTTGTGTGTGCTTGTGTTCATTCCACCCCAGCCTTGTCCAGCAATCCATCAGCCTTGGAATGAGTCCTTCTTCATCTCATGCCCCCTTCTTCATCACAATTTAGGCTCTCTCAACTCCCAGGCATTCTCTGGATCCTGGTCCAAGCAGAGCTACCCAGTGAGGCTGTCAGTGTGAGTGATATGGGTGGGTAGGTAGTGTTTCCTTCTTCTTGGGTCTGCTGCCCTTGGATCCTGATCTTCTACTGTCCTGGCAGGCTCACTGGATGATGCCAGAGAATGTGTTGATGGGCATCAGAAGGGGATTGAGCTTGGCCATATTCTTTTCTGCCTCCTGCCCGTGTGAATTGAGGCCCGACATCTTGGATTTCTGGGCCCGTGAACATGGCTCTGGGCAGGGGCTAACCTCAAATCTGCAGTGGGGAGAGACCAGCTTAGAAGACTAACCTCAGGGACCAGATTCTTCCAGCACATTTAAAAGGCAGACCAAATGTTGTAGGGTACAGAGGAGGGATTACAAAGAAGACAGAGGACAACTCAGAGAAGAAGGTCAGCGTACACCAATGTTCTCTGATAGTGGGGGAGATGTTTGGATCTAGGTCACTGTGTCTTTGTGTCTACCTCCCTGGGGAAAACTGCCAAAAGTCACAAAATGAGGGTACAGGTTCCCCAAAAGGGGATCCTTTAAGGAAGGGTCAGTGCCAACAGAAGGGCTGGAACAGGAGGGCTTGCAGGCTGTGTGTGTCCTTAGGAATCCTAGGAACATTTAGCACTAGCCTTAAGTCATAGGGCAGTGGTCTAAAACCTGCCTGGCTACAGATCTGACTCTGGTTAGTACCCTGGGCCAAAGAGAAGAGACTGGGAGTTTAGATTCCCCCCCCCACCCGTGGGGATTGGAATCCTAAGGGTAGAAAGGGTCACTTACCTGACCACATTCCTGAAAGTTCGCCGGCTGTCCTTGTCCAGCCACAGTGTCAGCAGCCTCTGGTCTTGGCTCTGGACTTGGATACTGGATGTCCGGAAGGTGTTTGCCACTGTCTGCATCCGAGAAACAGTTTATGCAAATGTCACCTTTGCTCAGCAGCTAGCTCTGCCAACACTTACTACCTTGGGATCTGGTGTGTTTCTTCCATCTATCCCAAGGGGTCCCTGCTCTTTTCCTGCTGGTGACTGAGCAGTGAGTGTATAAACTGCCTCCACGTTCCCTCGCTCTGGAATGCTCCTTTAGTTATATTCTTGACCTGTTATGCTTCATTATGAATACAAAATAGAACACTGTGGGCAGTGCATGCCCGATTATCAAGTTAGAGTGTCCACATGTATCTTGAGCATCTCCTATGGCAACCAAATTGGGAGGTGGCCCTAGTTCTCAGCATTAAATCATATGCACAGTTCTTTGCCTGGGCCAAACATAACCAGTGTGTCTAGGAAACAGTCAAATAAAACTCTAAGCCAGTGGGGAGCAAGCCCTAGGCATCCTTCTGATTCCAGACACAGGGGACTTCAGAGAGGCTTCCCCATGGAACAGAGAACTCTGGACCCTGGGGTGGCAGGAGGGCCTTGCAGAGTCCCCCACACATCGACAGGAGCTTTTCATTGTATGCAGTCAGCCCCAGTGTGTCAGAAAGCCTCAGCATGTATTTCTCCTAAGTGTTTTCAGCCTGGATGCTTACAAGAATCACAGGAGCGGCAGACAAGGGTGTAAACGCCAGGGGTCAGGGAGAATAGGAACGTGACAGGACAGGTGTTCTCACAGCAGCTGTGGCTGCCTGCACAAGAGCTGCATAAGAGCAAGCCATTCAGCATTCTAGCATGGAAGCAGAAGGGGTTCAGGAGCCCTGTGCTCCTTAAGGTTTGCAACTGGACACAAACTAGAATCCTAGGAAGAGGGAAATCAAGAAAGTGCTGCTGTCAGTTGGCCAATAGGCAACTGTGGGGCATTTTGTTGTTGTTGTTAATGATTGATGTGGGAGGGCCCAGTCCACTGTGGGCAGCTGGTCCTGGGTAGTATAAGAAAGCAGGCTGAGCTGGGGCTGGCCCCCCCACCCTGGTTCTTGCTCAGGTTAAGTCCTTGGCTTCCTGCAATGATGGATAAACTGAAATAAACCCTTTCCTCCCCAGGTTGTTTTTGGTCAGTATTTTATCACAGCAAAAGAAATGCAAATTAGGACATGTTCCCACTCCCAGGAGGAGCTGTGGACAGGTGTGACTTATGGGGGGGTGGAGAGTCAGTCTAATTGAAGGGTGTGACCCCTGGTAGGGGTAGGTCCACAAGTCTCCAGTGGGTGGCCCCACACCCAGGAGAACGGGAGGCAGGGGTGACCTGCTGAGTACAGGACTCAGCCAACTGATTCTGATTGCATGTTCTTTCCCCTGGCACACACAGAGGGCTTCAGGTGTGGCAGGACCCAGACTCACACTCCAGACCACCAGAGGCCATCTCCCAGCCTCCTCCCACACACCAGTTTGCTGCAGTTGCCTCTGGGGTCTACATGCCAAAGCACACCCCCATCTCCTGGGCTGTGGGTTATGAAGACAACATACATCTATCTATAATGCAGCCTTGGGGGGGGGGCAGCTACAGGCTTTGGAAAGGATGTCACGCTGCAAGATGAGAGAGCGGGCAAAACGCCCCTCTTCCCTGTTGGCATTGTCTTTATTTCACGCCCCAAGCATCCTTTCTTCTGTCCTTGTCTTGCAGGTGTCACTCTCAGCTGTCAAGCATCCAACCCAGCCCAAGGCAAGTCCACCAAGCAAGCCCAGGGGCTCTTGCTGTTCCCAGCTGGGAGCACCTCCCCTCCTGCTCACCAAGGACTTCCCCCCTGTGGCTTGGTGTTTACCATCTGATAAAACATGGGGTTTGGGGGAGGTTCCAGGAGAGGAAACACAGCTACTGGAATCTCACTCAGCAGGTCAGCAAGAGATAAAAAAGGGAACTTGCTGTTTTGATTGGCTTGGATAAGCAAAAGCCCCTGGCCAGGTTATTTAATGAGGTCAAATGAGCAGAGGCTGGTAGAAGGAACTGACTTCAAAAGAGAAGTAGCAGTCAAGGGTAACCAGGCCCACCTTAAACACCGAACTGTCCTACTCTAAGGCGGATTGGAGCAATCAGAGCTCTCCAGCTGCGGATAGCTTGCTGCAGAGAAGTGAGCCTTAGGTCAGGGTTGAGATGCTGGAGCTGTGTGCCAGATGCACTGAGTGCTGGAAACCCCAAGATAACCGGTCCCAGAGCCCCAGCCCCCTCTACCATGCCATTTACAGAGCTGCAGTGTTTCCATAGCTGTGTCCCCAGATTCTGGGAGAGCAGAAGGGTGGGGTACCCAGCTCACCAGGGAGTGGGGGTAGGGAAGATTTGAGGCAAAGGGAGGAGTATCAGGACAGTCCCCCCAGGTAGATAGCCCCCCACCCTGAGTCCTCTGTCAGGATGTAGAGGTGAAAAAGATGAGGGACAAGGACAATACACCAAGGCCAAAGGGTGACTTCTAGAGCTCCCAGACAGGAAATTGATATATAAGGTTAAAAAAAGGAAGGAAGGAAGGAAGGAACTGGGAAAATATTTCAAAAACATGAGACAAATAAAAGGATGTTGTCCTCATATAAAACAAGGATATCATGGTGACCGTATGAGTGGGAACATAAACAGGAAACAAAGAAATAAAGATTGTTGGTAAATATGAGAAGAGTCAGCTTCACTAATTTTGAGTGATAGAAATCCAGATTAAAACAATGGACATTTTTATGATCAGATTCCCAAAGATGTAAAAAAGTCAACTAGTGTACTGACAGCCTTCCCAAACTGGTGACTGCACTTGGTAGGAGTGGGACTTGGAGACCAGTGTGGTAAAATGTCCAGATGTGCTGATGGCAGCTCACTAGGGGAGGTTTTCAAAGGCATAGTCATGAGTTTTAGCATCTGTTTAAGCCTAAGTGTGTTCCCTCCAGTATGCTTATAATAGTGAAAGAAGATCATTTAATCTTACAAAAAACATTTCAGTAATCATATAGGTATGTGCAACCATTATGAAATACTATTTACTGACATAAACAAGGTCCCATCAGGACATTTGCACAAATTTTTCATGTATATTAAATATATATGTTATATTTTTTTTAATTTTGATTTCTTGAGACAGGGTTTCTCTATGTATCTTTGGCTGTCCTGGAACTCACTCTGTAGATCAAGCTGGCCTTGAACTCACAGATATCCACCTGCCTCTGCCTCCCGACTGCTGGGATTAAAGGCATATACCACCACACCCGGCTTATTTTATTTTTAAAACAGAGTCTTACTATATACCTTTAGTTGGCCTAAAACTCACTAAGTAGACCAGGCTGGCCTTGAACTCACAGAGATCCATCTGCCTCTGACTCCAGAGTGCTGGTTAAGGCATGCACCACCATTCCCAGACTACTTCCACATATTTTTGAGCAAAAGTATTGCTTTGGACCATTATCCACTGTGTTTATCAATTATATAAAAATATACATAATGAAAAATGAAACAAAGCATTAATACTAAAAAAAAAAAAAAAAAAAAAAGTCACCAGTCATTCTAACCATGCACTGACCTTTTTGACTCAAACAAACTTTTCATCTAGAGATGAAAACATTACCTTGCAATCAAGAAATGGAAGGACTGAAGGGGACCATCGGCTTTGCAACATGGAGGTGACTTTGCTGCAGTGGGGTAAGCCCACACAGCAATAGCCTGGAAGCAAGGGAGTCATGGATACAGGCCTCAGACTCCTACAAGTGTCTTTTTGAATGCTTGACTAGACAGGAGAAAGGAACTGCAGAAGCCAGGGAGAAAACATGGCCAGGGTAGAGTTCCTTGTCTTTTTCTAAGCTGGAGAGGAGACCTGAGCCTGTCTGGGGAGGGAGCTGCAGGGAAGAGGGAGAGGTCACAGGGAGAGAAAGAGAAAGAGACTCCAAGGATCATCAGGAGAGGGACTGAATGACATCAAGGCTCTGGCTGAGCAGGAGTTTGCTGGGGCCTGGTCGGTGTGGGTGCAGGATTTATTTCAGATGATATCGACACACAGCCTGTCTGGTGGGTGGTTCATGTCAGCAAGTGCACAGTTCAGGTGGGACCACGGGGCTCTGTGTGAGGTCAAGTTAAATGTAAGTGAAGTTGAGAGAAGCCATCAGAGGGAGAACACAGGAGAGTCTCATACCTTGATCACTACATATCAAAGCCAAGGGGAGGGGGAGTCTGGTTGCAGGGCAGTGGCTGGGATGACACAGGTGGGCACATGTGGTTGTCAGGGGATGCCTTAGTGCTCAGATGGGCTGTAGATGGAAGGCGGTCAGTGCCTCCTCCTTTCACACACTGACTGGAAGGCCCCACAGCAGGAGTGAAGGGGCACTGGTCAGCTCCCTTTTTCTGAACACCTTCCTCCCTGTGCTCCCTCATGAGCTACCTGTCCCCCTCCCTAGTCCACCCGAACTCACAGTGAACGACCTTCCTGCCAGGTTGGAGGACTTGACAACCTCAGTCACACTGACACGCAGGCACATGCAGCCTGTAGCAGAAGCAGCATTTGGGGAGGTGCAGTGGGAGAACCCTGGAACCAAAGAAATGGGGGAGGGGAATGAGTGAGTGGGGGCTGGAGATTCCGGGCTCCAAGGAGCCCGCCACAATCCCTGTCTTCCCCTTCTGCTTCCTTTGCCCCGCCCAGTGGCACCCCACTTCAGGGTTCCATGTTGGCCCTAACCACACTTCTTTCTTCCTCTCTCTGGAGAAACAACCAAGTTTCTGAACCTCCGGTGATCACCACACCAAACCCCGGGGCTACATATTGAAAAAACAGTCTCATTGTATAGCTTCTGGCTGGCCTGGAACTCAGAGGTCTGCCTGCCTCTGCTTCCCGAGTGCCAGGATCAAAGGTGTGCGCCACCACACTGAACTCTCCTTTCTTAGTAAGGTTTTTTTTTTTTTTTTTTTTTTTTGTTTTGTTTTTGTTTTTTTTTTTTTTTTAAATTCATTCAGTAGTGTTGGGAATTGAATCTGGGACCTCAAATGTACCAGACAAACATTTTATCAGCAAGCCCCATCCATCCCTAGTCCCCACTCTAATCCCACTTCTTTAAAAAAAAAAAAAAAAGTGTATATACATATACAGTGTTCTGTGTGCATATCTACCTGCACACCAGAAGAAGGCACCAGATCTCATGATAGATGGTTGTGAGGCACCATGTGGTTGCTGGGGATTGAACTCAGGACCTCTGGAAGAGCAGCCAGCACTCTTAACCTCTGAGCCATCTCTCCAGCCCCCAATCCACTTCTTTAAAAAAAATATTTATTTTTATGTACAAGTGTTCTGTCTGCACATATGCCTGCATTACAGAAGAGGGCATCAGATCCCATTACACTTGGTGCTAAGCCAAGTAGGCTGGGTTGCTAGGAATTGGACTCAGGACCTCTGGAAGAGCAGCTAGTGCTCTTAACCTCTGAGCCATCTCTCCAGCCCCCAATCCACTTCTTTAGAGAATACACTGTATCAAACAGTCACCATGTGTGACTATCCTTAGGCTGAAACTCCCCCTGCCAACTAAAGATGGTGCTTGGAGGAGTCTGTGCTTCTTGGGTGGCGCTGGTCTCACCTGCTGTGATTGGCTCAGGGTTGGGATATATGTGAGAGTCTTAAGAAGGAAAAAGAAGGGCTACAATACCTCACTGCCTTCTCTCTCTCTCCCCCTCCCACTTTTCTTCTCCGGCAGGGTCTCCTATAGTCCTATCTGGCCTCAACCTTTCTGTGTAACCAAGGATGACCTGACCCAATCCCCTTTCTCCCTCTCCACCCCCTCACCCCCACCATCCTGAGCTTGCTTGGGTTACAAGTGTGTACCACCAGGGCTCACCATGGGCAAAGCTAGCGCGTTTGTAGTTTACTATGTGCACATAAACTAGTGTCTATTACCTGAATTTTCTGTTTAAGAGTATAAAAGTGATACATCACTTGCCCAAAGCTACACAGATAGCAAGCAGCAAAAAAGGGGTTTGGGCTCTGCCTACCCAGCTCTGCCCTGCTCTCCGGGTCTTCACAGCCTCCTCTAGATCATGATCTACTGGCAGAACTACGAGTCTCCTTCATGTGCTAACATACTAGAAGGAAAGAACGTCTTTCTAGAATATGAATGAGTGTCACATGTCACCTAAAAGTTCAATTGCCTGGAAGTGGCCTTATCTGAAAGGGCTATTATTTCTGGAGTTTCTTCTTTTTGTGCCAGATGCCTCCATAAGAACACTGATGCAGGAGGCTAGGCAAGAGTATGCCAAGTTCGAGACCAGCCTGGCCTACATTGCAAGATACCATCTCATTTTAAGACAAATCTGTGGGTATAAAACACTATTTCATTTACTCAGCAAATGTTTATTGAATGCTTGTTTGTTTGTGACAAGGAATCTCGATGAAACCCAGGCTTTGGATTCATAATCTTTCTGCCTCAGTCTCCCAAACACTGGAATTATAGGCCTGGACCACTGTACTAGCTTCCCGAGCAGCTGCTGTATGCCTAGGTATGTTCTAGGTACTGTGGGGAGAGTGAACGGTTATACTTCTGCCTAGGTGAATTTCCTTGTATGCCCGGAAACGATCTCTCCCAGGTTTGTGTGGGCCACTGCCCTGAACTGTGGGATTTAGCAGTTCTCAGAGACACTGTGGGACTGCAGAGAGGAGTGTTCAGTGAGGGTGCCTGGCTCTAAACCACTGCAGAGGTGACCCCGAGGAAGCGATTTTCTTGCTTCTGTTTCCTCTGAGGAAGGAGTTAGGAATACTGATAATATCTATCTCAGAGAGTTCACATGTTCAGAAGTGAGGTCCTGCATCTAACAGGATGCTGTTAGGCTCCTTGGAGGTGTTGCCATCTTTTCATCCTTCCATGGAACCAGGAAGCTCTTGGTGAAAGCTCATGTGCTCTGTCTATATGAGCTGGTTTCTTTACTGGCATTCCATTTCATTCATTCATTTATTTTTATTTTGGAATAATATGCAAAATCCAATTATTTCCCAGCAGAAAGATGCCAGCTCTGTAGGCCTAATTCAGAGTAGAGAGACCTTCTGCTCCCATCCCTAGGTCCCTCTACCTTCCAACTATGGCTGAGATAGTCTGGGTTCTTGGACAGCAGGGAAGAGACCCCCCCCCCCCCCGTCCTCAGCTTCTATCAGCCATCCTGTTTCCTCTGGTCTCCCTGATTGCTCCTCATCCCTCACATCTCTTCACTCTGCATCCTCAGCTCCTCACCTTCAGTGTCACCAGCTGGAAGGGCCTTCAGGACCAGCCCGGTGGCCCTCAGAGAAACAGTGACTTCTCGGGGCCTGTGGCTAAGCAGGGCCTGGGGATTGGAATTGAGGAGTAAAGAGGGGGTCCTGAGGACATGCCCTCCCCCACATCATCAAGCTCACTTCTCTCTGCCCTGGGAGTCTCCCTGGGGTGTACAGCTACCAATACGGGGACCGTGGGCAGAGGCTTGGATGTTCCTAGCCCCTAAGGATCCTATACAACTCCTAGATGGGTAGCTCATAAGGAAGAAGTTTTTGAGCAAGAAACCAGCTTCCTTTCCTTTTTTTTTTTAAAGACAAGGTCTCACTGTGTAGTCCTAACTGGCCTCAAGCTCACAGATTTCCACCTGGCTGTGCTTCCCAAATGCTAGGCTTAACTACATGTATAGTGATGCCCACCCAACTGTTTAATTCCTTAGAGAACATTGCCTGTCTGTGTGTAAGGTCAACTTCACCCCTACTCTATCCTTGCAGAATGTTCTGGAGTCTGAAAGAGTCTGAGGCTATCTTGAAGAAAGGGGCGGGGCTTCTTTTGGCTCTGTCTACAACACCCATATCCCAGAGGCTGGCTTTCATTCGCTATGTGGCCTGGGTCCCAGTTGACTACGCCGATGACACTGACCTTCTGGTAGCACACAGACAGCTCAGCTCCTGTGCCCTCAGCTGCCCCTTTCCTTCGTGGAGAAGAGCCCTCTGAGGAGAGATAAGAGGAGGTCATAAGGGGAGATCCCCTCCCCTGTGTCACTGAGGCATAGCTGCTGGATGGAGAGGTAGCACCTTGGGAAGACTGCCTTTCAGCCTGGGAGTGCTCTGAGGTAGAGGTAAGTGTGGGCCTGGCATTCAGCAGAGAGGCCCATGATACATCAGGGCGACCTGACATCTGGTGAGGGGCAAGAGAGTGAGTATGGGGTAAGCTGAGCCAGGCTGAGCTCTGGGGAAGGGTGGACAGAAACTCACCTTTGGGGGACTTGGAGTCTTGGATCTTCACCTTCAGCTCAGTGAGGAAAATGTCCTCTGTAGGGTCATGACTCAGGTTGGTGAAGATCTAGAGACAAGAAGGGGCAAGGAGGGAGAGGGAGGGGGATTTAGAAAAAGGTTCTGAGCTACACAGAGCGACGGCCACATCAGTCCTGACCTTTCCAGCAATGTAAGCTGGAAATAGATGCCCCCAGTCCTAAGCCGATTTGAAAAGTTCTTGTCACTTGCATCTGAGTCCTCCCCGAAACCAAAGCACGGAGAGGAAGAATCAGGAGATACTGATTCTGGTCAGACCTTTTTTTTGTTTTGATAGGTAAAAACCTATCTTTTACCATATACTTGTAAAAGCTCCAGCTACACAGGAGGAGCAAGGTCAGCCGAGCAACTGTACAGTGTGGTGAGTGTAGTGCCTAACAACTCACACTCTAACTAAAAGCTATAAGGAGGTTGTGAGTGTTTGTTCCATGAACTGTAAGGGGGAAGTGATGTGCACTTGAACTAGCCCAATTAACATAGTTTCACAATGTGTACATATCATAAAAAGACAGGTTACAACCGCATGTGTAACCAGGGGATGGAAGACAGTCCACAGCAACCTGTGCCTGACTCCAAACCCAAGTGTAACCAGGGGATGGAAGACAGTCCACAGCAACCAAGCCCTGACTCCAAACCCAAGTGTAACCAGGGGATGGAAGACAGTCCACAGCAACCAAGCCCTGACTCCAAACCCAAGTGTAACCAGGGGATGGAAGACAGTCCAGAGCAACCTACCCCTGACTCCCAATCTTCTGCTTGAATTTGAGATCTTTGAAGTTAATAATGAATTTGTTGGTCCAGACAAAATGAAGACAAAGTTGTTAGAGCAGCCAGGAACTGAATTTCAGCCTAGTGACCGGTATCTCCCCAGAGCCAGAGGATTTACATGGTGGTGAACAGGGTCCTGCAGGCTGGCATGGCATCCTGGGAACCCCAGGGGAAAAACTTACCTTAACCTTGTAGAGCTGGAAATAGATGGGTTGGGTGCCCATGCGAACATAGTAAGTGATTACATCCAGGATAAAGGGGTCCACAGTCTGGGACATGTCAAAGCAGGGAGGCTGTGAGGAACAAGGGCAGTGTGTTCAGCAGCCACTCACCTCCAGGCTGCTAGAGGAGGCACCATTGTCTCCAAAACCGCCACACTCCCTGTGATGACCAAATCTGGCTAATCCTTCAACAAGCTCCTGGCCATCTGGTTTTTACTTCCAACCAAAATGTAAACCACTTTTTTTTTTTTTTTTTTCCAAGACAGGGTTTCTCTGTGTAGCCTTGACTGTCCTGACTCACTCTGTAGACCAGGCTGGCCTCTGCCTGCTGAGTCTTGGGATTAAAGGCGTGTGCCATCATCGCCAAGCTACAGATGAGACTCCATCTCCTCAGGCGAGCTGGTTAATTTCGTGTGGGTAGACTTAGTGAGCAGTGAGGCAGTGTGCTAGCCGCTTGAGGATGTAAGCGATGAAGAAACCAACCATACAGAAGTTTAGGCTTGGATTGGATACACACTATCTAGAAACCTGGGGCAAAACTTTTCAAGGCCTGAGTAATCTTGAAGGGAGAAATAAGAGGATAAACTACATGATGAGATGATGTCCCTTTTGACTCTGGCCACTCCTGAATCTGTTAGTAAACTCACTAATAAACCAAGTGTGATTGCATGTGCCTGTAATCCCTGCTCATTGAGTGGCTGAGGAAGAAGAATGTTGAGTTCAACTACACAGTGAGGCTCTGTCTCAAAATAAATACAGCAGTGGAAGTTCCTCGTTGCTGGGAATGTGGCTTGCTTAGCCCCATGACAGTAAAGAGAATGATCTTCAGGTGCACAGACTAGAATATCTATATAACATGGGACACAGGCTGAGTGCCCCGTACCAGAAATGCTTGGGGTCCAGGGGTCTTTCTAACTCCACGACTTTTACCCATCAGATTTTGAAATATTTATATGTAGATGATGAGATATCAAATTATTTAATCTCATATGCACCTCATCCTCTAAGCCTAAAGACAATTCCACACATTTTTGGTGTGCCTGTGTTTTGACCATGATCTACCACATGAGGACAAGTGTGGAATTTCCCCCTTGTAGCATCATGATTTTGCTCACAAATTCGTGTGTTAGAGCATTTCGAGCTTTGACTTTCCAGGTTAGGACTGCTCAAGCTGTGACATCAGAGTTGGCAAGAGGCTCAGATTTGTTTTAAGCATTGCGTGTCTGACCCCAAATCCCACTGACCCCAACGTATGGATCACTGAAATGTTCCTTCAAAAAGGTCATGCTTGGTCAGGCATGGTGGTACACACCTTTACTCCCAATGTTCAAGAGGCAGAGGTAGGTGAATTTCTATGAGTTCAAGGCCAGCCTCATCACTTTGTGAGTTCCAGGTCAGACAGGGCTACACAATGAAACCCTGTCTCAATGTCCCACCCCCAGATATTATGCTGATAATACATCATTGCCCACGGTGTCTCCTGGTCTTTCACATTGGAAAGGCCAAACAACTGATTAATTATAAGAGAGAGCAGAAGGAGAAATCAAGACGAGTAATTTGATAAATAAAATCTATAAATCAGTAGCTTCCTGCTATATTGGCAATATAGTCTTTCTAACTGGAATGAGAAAAAGATGCTCTCACCATGACAAGAAAAGCACTACAAGATGTGAGGAGTAAACTGAGCAAGAAATGGGTAAAAGCTGTACAAGAAAACTGCACAATCCCCATAGAATAATAGCAAACTCTTATGAAATTGTATTATGCCCCCAGAGAGGGACACATAATATTTGGAAGAGGCTGATTCTTTCTCTTTAATCAAAGCGCCAATAGATTTAAAAAAAAAACAAAATCAGATCCGGTGAGATGGCTCAGTGATTAAGTGCACTTGCTGTTTCTTTTGGAGACCAGAGATAGGTTCCCAGCATCTCTGTAGGAAGCTCACAACTGGCTGTAACTTGAACTCCAGAGAATCTGATGCCCTCTTCTGGCCTCCACAGGTACCTGCACACATGTGTGCATGCATATATACACAAAAAATTTTAAAAATATTTAATATAGATTAATTTAAAAAAATAACATGCAAATTCTAAAGTTTATCAGGAAAGATGAACTGGTATAGTCTAAAAAGTTCTGTAAAAGAAAAATAATGCTGTAGGCTTACTCTTCCAGATATCAAAATAGAATCATATTTATTTATACAGAACTGCATAAATCCATGAAAACACAGGTCTCCAGAAATATCATCACACAGATATAAGAGCTCAGTCAGGGCTATAAGCAGAACATTAAATGGATGAGGTGCGATGGTTTATACAACTAACCATCTGGGATGACCAGCTAAATCTTTGGAAAAAGCAGAATTACACGCACACTTCAGATAAAAGATGAAAGTTATTTTTGTGGGGACTTGTTATTTAAATATAAAAATCCAGACTGTAACAGTGTTTGAGTATTTCAATCCCAGGCCTTAAGAGGTTAAGACTCAGGCCTGATGAGATGGCCTAGGGGCAAAGTGAGTAGTACAAGCCTGGAGACCCAAGTTTGATTCCCAGAAGCCATGTAAAGTTACAAAGTTGTCCTCTGACCTCCACATGAGGTATGTATGACCCCATCCCCCAAACACACATACACAGACAAGAGGAGGAGGAGGGGGGGGAGGAAGAAGACACTTTCAAAGGCAGAAGTCACAAAGAATAAAAGTTCTAACAACAGAAAACATTAAACTGTAACTAAAACACCTGATGGGAAAATGACAAAGTGTGAAAACAAACCTAACTGGGGTCTCCTTCTGACTCTACCTTCTTCCTCATCGGAGCTTTTAGAACTTCTCCATCTCCATTCATCCGATCACACTCCTCCCACGCTCTCCCCGTCCCTCCCTGCCCTTCCCACTGTTCCTACCATCTCGGCCAGCTTGAGGATGGCAGGACACAGGGTGTTGACAGTGCTTTCATACCACGGGTCTGCTTGACCCAGGAAGGAAGCGAGCTCTCCCAGCTCAGGCTTTCCGGATACCTCTGGATCCTGGGGATTTGGGGAATAAGGGGTCAGACACACCTCTCAGGCCCTCCCCTCCAAGTCTGGGTGCCCCGATACCAAACAAAGCCCAGTGTTCTGTGGCCGTGATCAAGTCTCCTAACCTCTCGGGCTCGGTTTCTCTACTGTGGGAAACACACACCAGTGTTCTTTATCATAAACTCGAGTGGAAGAGTTTTTGCCGAGGGTCACTTGCCGTGACGCTGCAAAAACTCTGTTGACCTTTAAAGGTCAGGTTCTTGCTCTGGGTAAGGATGAGCATGGATTCATTCCCCTCCCCAACCCACCACCAACACCGACGAACTATGGTCATCTGCCCCAAACTGTCTCTCCTGTGGAGGGAGAACGAGAGGGAAGGGAAAGTCTCTCATAAGCTGAAAACAAAGAATTTCAGTACAGCTAACAAGAACTGTGAAGATAATAGATTATCTAAGGAGAAAATATTCCCTTTTCTAAAAAAGTACCTCAAGCAAAGATGTTAAAGTAACAAATGGGCATGCTTGCTTAGGGAGGAATGGGTGTGGCTTTGAGTTTTAGCTGCATCTGTGCCTGTGTTGAGTGCGTCTCTCAACTCTCAACTCTGCCTCTGAACTGAGCAGCTTGGAAAGCCAGCTTAGTGTCTCGCGTACTACAGGAAATTCTCTGAAGGATAAATAAAACCACTCGGAATTTTTTTCTTACTTTTTAAAACTTTGTGTAATTGTTTGCTTCATGTTTAAAACAACACCCTCTGAGCAAGAAAGCAACACCAATACTGACGTGGTTAGGGCGGGTGATGGTCTTGAGAAGCCTGAACCTAAGCCCCCGCGGTATGTGACAACCTTTAGTTCTCACTCTCTTAAAGCACGCACCTTCTCATCTCTACCTAATAAACTCACTATTCCTGTTTCACTCAGGCTCATCCTGTGGTGTCGACAGGGTCTGGCTCCACACAGTGGAGGTCCCCAAGGGGGAAGTGCCTCAGTTTACTGATCAGCACTGATAATCAGTTACAACGACAAGAGGGAGCCCAGCAGAGGGGAGGCTGCTGTGGCAAAACCTGTGTCTTAGCTTCTGATCTGGAAGACCCCTCCAAGCCTCTCTTAGCTCCACATTCCAAGGTTCTGGTCCCCTGAGCCAGGCTGCCAGTGGTCCCTACCCCTCCCTCTGTTCTCTGACGAGACCTCTGCTCCTGACCCTCCCCTGTCCGGTCACCTGAGGCGTCAGCACAGGGATGTAGTAGAGCTGCAGGCTGAGTCTAGGAGTGAGGCAGAACTTCTTGGTTTCCCGTTTCCTGGCAACAGGCAGTAAGGTAGAGTGACCTCAGGGTTGGGTGATGGCATCAAATAGTCTCATTTGCCGTTATCATGTATTGACTTTGGGAAACTTATACTATCTTTATGAGCCTCTGTTTACCCATTCATGAAATGGGAACAGTTGTCATTTCCTGTCAAGCTGAAGGATGGGCACTGGGCCCCGGCCTTTCCTCCTGTCCCTCTAATACCTGTTTGGATCTTTTACAAGCTCATTCCAGACCCACCCATATTCCTGACAACCCCAATCCCTCCTCAGGGCCCTACCTGAGTCTGTAGTAAGCCTGGGCCAAGCGTCCGAGCATCCTATCATCTCCCAGCACGAGCACGCGGGCTGTGTGCACCCTGGAGACGCCAGGCAGCAGCTCCCCGTCCCCGCTGGGCCTGCCAGTCCTCCGATGCAACCCTGGGGGCCCATCCCAGCTGCCAGGCATGGAGAAGGCAGGGGGCCCCACCCGCTTCTTGATGCCCCCCCTGCGCTGTAGTGCAGCCCGCTCCATCTCAGAGCTGCTGGGTTCCGGGAGCTCGTCACTTCCCAAAGGAAGGTCTCGCTCAATCCCACTGTCGGTGGACACTCGGGCCAAGTCCCAGTCTGTCCTAAATCCTTGTAGATCCAAGGCCTCCAAGTCAGTACTGAGGCGCAGCTGGGAGTGTGGACGAAGGAAGAGCACCAGTTCCTTCCCTGAGACATGAGAACAGGGGGGCGTCAGGACGGCAAGAACAACTGAAGTTGACAGGACCACTCCCCAGAAATCTGGGACCCCTGTTTCTCAAACACTGTCCCCTGAACAGAAGCCCCATGGGACACTCCACAAAGGGCAGCAGTCTTGTGGTCAACAACGGTCCAGGGTTCTAAGCACTCCTGCTTCCTTCCACTGAGGCTGACCAGTAAACACATTCCTTTTTCTCTCTCTGTCTCTCTGAAACAGGTTCTCTCTGTGCAGCCCTCGCATTCCTAGAACTCACCATGTAGACCAAGATGGCCTGAACTCAGGAGATCTGCCTGCCATTGCCTCCTGAGTAGAGGGATTAAAGGCTTGCACCACCACACCCAGCCAATCAGTGAATGGATTAAAAGCTCAGAGAACCCCAGCATTAAAGAAACCAGTTTAGCCCAGAACCTCCCACATTTAGCAGACCCTCCTGGAACCCTCCCAACTTCCTACTTCCTGTAGCTTCCACTGGAACACAGATTCAAGACCACCAGCCCCAGAGAAGAGTTGTATGTCTTTCTAGCCCATTTCTAGGTCCAGAACGTATCTAACATGACCCAGCATTCAAAAGGAAGTGTCAAGACCCAGTCACCCAGCCTAGTACTTCCTACCATCATTGGTGTCCTTGTCCTCACTCTCTAGAAGAGCCAGGAAGATTAGAATAGGACACAAGAGTAGAGGGAAATGTCTGCTCTGTAAGGATCCTCCAGGTCTGGGTACCATAAGGGGTTCTGCTTGCCTCCCTTGCGGGGACATCGATGGCATTAACATGAGCATGACCAATGGCTAATGCACTGGGCTATTCCGAACTGGAGAAGTGAAGCTCTTTGTCCAGACACGTCAAACGACTCAGAGAACAAAACTTGGACAGACAGGAGCCCAGACAGTGGACACACAGACACACACCACTGCTCTCAGCCATTTCTATGGGAGCTCAGAGGCTCAGGCACATACAGAGCTGCTCCTGGTCCGTCCACAGGTGGAAGGTGATGTAGGGGCTGGGCAGGGGGATGCTTGCTGGTCCATCTTGGAGAAGGTCACCTGGAGAAAGGAGCAGACTGTGGGGACTGTGGTGAGGAGGGCTGTAGGAAAAATTTTAAAAAGCCTAGGGAGACTGAGGGGAGGGATGTCAACACAGGGCTACCCTGCCCACTTTCTCCAGCTTTAGTGTACCAAAACTTTAGCTACCAAGTTCAAGCTTTCCTGTGCTCTGCTATGGTTTCTAGCCAGTTTCCCTTGCACTTTGTAACTGTTATGGCAAAAGAAGCTACATTTTTTTAAAATTCTAATTTAAAAATTCATTTTATGTAGCAATCACAGTACCCCCTCCTTCCCTTCCTCCTTCTCCCCCTCCCACCTACCCCCACCCCACCATCTGCTCCTCAGAAAGGGTAGGGCCTCCCTACCTGGCACTTTCAGTTGAGGCTGGACCAAGCCCCCCTCCCCCATCAAGGTTGAGCAAGGCATCCCACCATAGGGAACGGGCTCCAAAAAGCCAGCTCATGCACAAGGTATAGATCCTGGTTTCACTGCCAGGGCCCCCACAATCAGACCAAGCCATACAACTGTTGCCCACATGCAGAGGGCCTAGTCCAGTCCCGTGCAGGTTCCCAGCTGTTGGTCTAGAGTCCATGAGCTCCCATGAGCTTGGGTCAGCTGTCTCTTTGGATTTCCCCCATCATGATCTTGACTCCCTTCCACCTCCCTTGCTCAAATTATCACCCCTCTCTCTTTTCTACCCGACTCCTGGAGTGTGGCCTGGTGCTTGGCTGTGGATCTCTGCATCTGAAAAAAACCTCCATTTTATGCTAGGCATCCATCTTGGTACCCATCAGCTATTGTCTCTGACTCTAGTCCCAGTAACCCGGACTCAGTGGCCCCTACCCAAAAATGTACAGCTGTGACTATCTACTTGTTATGGCGTGACTGGCTGCTTTTGTTGGTGTTCTGCTTCAGTAATTTGCAGATACCCAAAGATTGTTTTGAGTTATGTTAATCATTTAACTTGGCAGAACAGAACAGTTTTTACTTGCCTGCATGGATATGGAAGGTCTTCCTGTGGTTTTCCCCTTTAAAAGTCCTTCCCCACACCCCTCCTTCACGGCAATGTCAAGTTTGTCTCAGAGACTGTTGGTCCTGATAGCAGGTAATCAATCAGCCTTTTAACTATAATTGGATTGAGTCTATGGTCTTTCCCCAGGGGTCACAAACTCCATAACAGTAACTACTATGGCGCACTCAGTAACCACATGCTCTGACACACGAAGGCTGACACCTTCCACGGAAGCTCTGAGTGACTGGACACACACCAGAATCGTCCCACCACAATCAGGACCCACACGTGCTAGGTTGTTGAAGCCCACTTAGGGAACATGCTCCTGCAGGGTTTGGCTTTGCTTTATCAACGTTCAAATAGAAAGGAGGTGTGCAGAGTACAAATGGACCCAAGGGATAAGTAATTCAGACATCTAGTACTTCCCATTCTGTGGAGGTGTTCTGGGGATCAAATCTGTTGATCTGTTGGTAATACTATGCCAGAACAAGACTCAAATCCCAGCTCTGACACTCACTAGCTGAGTGACAGTCTGCAGATAGATAGATATTTTCATCTTTTTTTTTTTTTTTCTTCTTCTTCTTTTTCTTTCTTTCAGACAGGGTTTCTCTGTATTGCTTTGGAGCCTGTCATAGAACTAAATCTGTAGACAAGGCTGGTCTCTAACTCTCAGAGATCCACCTGCCTCTGCCTCTGCCTCTGCCTCCCGAGTGCTGGGATCAAAGGCGTGCGCCACCAACGCCAGGCTTTAATCTCTTTCTAAATCATGTCATAGATTTAAATACATGTTAAATGTTTAGAGCAGCTAATGTGATAAAGCAGGACACTTTGCAGGTGTGGGTTATCATGATCCTATTACCAATTGCTTAGTCGTCCCCCATCCCCCACCCCCCAACACGCTAAGCTCTTCTCAGTACCCAGGATATTGGGATCTCTGGTGTCTGCTCCTTCTGAAATCTCATTCTGTCTAACCTAGCTCTTTGGCGCCCTCTGTGGTCAGCAGTCCCTTGGCCAGTCCCCACTGGTCCCTGCTTACCCACGAAGCGCCTTCTTGTGGCTGCTGGGCCTAGCAGCGAGCAGTAAATCTCCTCTAGTCTCTCCAGGTGTCCCAGCCGGCTGGGACTGTCCTCACTAGCCACTTGCTCTATGGCAGCCACTACGGCGTGGAAATAGTATTCCAGGACCCGACGGGAGCTGGCCTGCGAGGAAGTACATCAGAGCCTGAGTTCTATTAACCATCCTATCCATCAACCCACCTATCCCACACCTATGTCAAATCAGGCAGGACCACCAACAGCCTAACATGGCACTACTACCCTTAGGCTCCTAGGGGCTGGGCAGGAGCTGCCTGGTGAAAGATTTGGGATTCCACATCCAGAGCCTGGGTTTCTGCCGAGCTATGGCTGTGGACCTTTGCTGCCTGTGGGTAGGTAGTAGGGATCCTCTCTGGCTTTCATACCCTATGATGGGGAGAGTGTTATGAAGAATCCACCAAAATAAAGGATTCAAGTTGTGGGGTTGAGACTGGACAATTCCAGATGGAAAACAAGAACAGATGATCAATGCTCTGATGCACTTTGATGGGCAGAGCCAGGTCTGAATAATGGGACTGAGGGAAGAAAACAAAAATCGCTGACATCCTCCCCACTTCCTGAACCTGGGTTAGGAGGAGACAACTGAAGCCTCCCTCTGGGCTCCTGGTTCCTCCTGCTGCAGCAGTCCTAGGCTTCTCCTCAAGCCTCTGCATCTTGAGCCTGCATCCAATCCAGTCTTGCCCAGCTTTCCCTGCTACCCACAGAAGGTCACTCGTAATGGCACAGGTCCTCCCATTGCCACATCTGCAGGAAGTTCAGCCCCTGGTGCCTGCTCTCAGCCAGAAGGATGTACTGGGCTGAGGCTGAATCATTGGATGGTGGTGGAGTAAGTGTTGGGAACAGCCCACATGCCCCACTACAGGAGTCAGGCATCGGCTGATGTAACAGCAACTGCATACCATGTATCGTTAGAAGGACATGTCTCCCAAGGAATATGTTTGCAGAGGCCATGCTTCTAATGTCATGGGAAGAATGTACATTATATGAAGCAGTTGTAGAGTTCAGTAGCTCCATGTGTGTTGAAAAGGAATGGGGGGGGGGAGGCAGTGGACAAGGGTTCAGACTTTAACTCAGCTTCCTTGTTTCTGTGTGAGCATGAGTAGATGACCGTTTTCTCTGTGCCTTAGTTTCCCATCTATAAAGTTAGATGGTAACAGCATTTCACAGTGCTGTAGGAGAACTTCAAACTGTGATCAAGTTTAGCAGTGTCTGGACCAACAATCAGCTGATGAACTTGCTATTAAATCATCAGTGTCATCATTTCCTTAATAGGAATATTCAATTCAACCAAATATTCATTTCTGTTATTTCAAAGTGGAGAGGTTTCGAGCGATTTTTATTTTTAACCTTCAAGGGGTTTGTCTGTATTTTTCATATTTCCTTTAATAAACATGTATGAATTGTTGAATCGTCGGGGGAAAGGGTGGCAGGGACCAGAAGCAGGAAGAGTCCGGGGAGTGACTATGGCGAAGGCAGGGCCGGAGAGGTGGGGGTATGGGGGTGTTTGATTACCTGCAGCTTCCTGTTCAGAGCCCCTGTGTGGCAGGCATCCCCCAGAGCTGCCTGCAGGGCGTGGGAGACCACATGGCGCATGCAGGCCTCAGGTGTCTGCTGCTCCTGGGCTGCCTCAATCTCCAGCAGCAAGGCGCTGCACACGGACGGAGAAACCAGCTCAGGGTCCACAAACAGGAACACTCTGGGGGCAAAGATTGGAATGGAGGTCCCCCAAAAGCTTGGATGGACACCCCCATTATATAAGACCTTCGGTAACAAAAGCAGTTTCTAGTAGTTACTTCCCCTAAAAAAGGGAAGCTTCCCGTTCAGAAGCCTCTAAGTGGGGCAACAGCCAGGAGAAGGCAGGCAGGCAGGAGTCTCATAGCCCTTTCAGAGGGGCAGCTGCAGCTCCCGCACCCAAAGGGTCCCATGTGGAGGAACAGGTTAAGTCCTTCATCCAGGGACACTCCAGCCCGAGTTCTGTTTTGTGGTCCTCAGTGTCCTGGTCCAGTGCTCATCACCCTCTGGGGAGACCTTAAACCTCTCCTAGTACTGGAGCAAGGACCCACATAAAATTAATCTTTGCTCATCACCCCATCACCCCAGGAAACGGACTCACCCACACTTTCCTTCCTCAGGAAGCTGTGCCATGCTCTGCCCTCCAGCACTAATTCCCCTGCTGCCCTTTCCCTCAGCACCCTTCCTGAGCATCTCAAACCTACATGGTGCCACGCAGCTAAATCCACAGACTTGCCTGCAGCACAGAGAGGCACTTACTCTCCCCGCACCCTCCTTACCATTTTTCTTCACTCTTCCATCTTATCTAAGGGCTGAGAATTTACTGAGGAAAGCCCCCAGGTCCAGGCCTTGCAACTACCTCTGGCTTGATTGGATCTTGGTGGCAAGAAACAGGATGTGGGGAGGCACAAGAATGGAACAGCGGCACTGCCCTGGGCCATGTGGTTCTTCTGCACAGGGTCACTCTGTACCCAGGCAAAGAAGAAAGGCCCAGGGAACGTATAGCAACCACCCTTGAACTGGAAGTGCATGCCACTGTTGGGCCGATGCAGCTCTGTTAAGTTATTCTTCATCTCTCCTCCTCTTTTGTTTTCCTGTCAGTGAACAGTTTGCAAGGTACCCAACACTTTGAGGGAGCTGAAGGTAGCAGCCACTCCAGGGCCTCTTACCTCTCCTGGTAAGGGTATAGTTCACTCATCAGGTTCTGCTCTGCAATGACAGTCCTTTGGTACAGTGTACCTGCAAACCAGACCACATCAGTGAGCCAGCCTCTGAGGGCCTCTGGCTCCAATTCTCCTGGAAGGAGCCGAGAGTTTTGAGCACTTTGGCATCCTGAAGAAAGCAGCCTGATGTTGGGTGGTGCTGCGTTGCAGCATGGGAGGCCAGGATGCCCTGCAGCTCTCACCTGGGACGGCTGCCTCTGTTTTCAGTCTTATGGCACAGTCCAAGGCGACCGTAGAGTAAGGGGCAGGCAGGGTCAGCAGCCTTGTGCAGAAGGTGTACGCTCTACGGTAGAGCTCTTCTGTGATGCCCGTGGCCTGCTGAGAGGGAGGGGTGGACACTCTAGGTCTTGAGGGTCTGAGATGGAGGGTTGTGACTGACAGCCAGACTGGCTCCATGCTCTTCACATCCTCAGGTTGAAATCTCTCCTCCCTATAATACCTTAGCAAGACAGAAATTTATTCCTGCATGCTCAGAAGGGCAGTTCTCCCCCAGCCTTAATGCTGGAGCATCTCCAGGTTTGGAAACTTGGAGCTACATCTTAAGCCTCTGCACTTCTTTGAATCTCACAGGCATCAGGTATCTCACAATGCCCAGGGGCTTCTTTTCTTCCACTCCTGATTGATTCCTTTGCCAGAGCCCAGCCATCCTCATTCCAGATGCTGCAGTCACACTCCCCACACCCCACCACCAATTCCTTTAGCCAAGAGTGTAAGCCATTGTTTTCTTACATGAAAACCAGCAATTATAAGAAATCAATAGTTTGCTGGTCAGTGATGGGGCATACCTTTAATCCCAGCACTTGGGAGACAGAGGCAGATGAATCTCTGTGAGTTCAAGGCCAACCTGGTCTACAGAATGAATTCCAGGACAGCCAAGGCTCTACAGAGAAACCCTGTCTTGAAAAACAAAAGCAAAACAACAACAAAAGAAATCAATAGTTCTGGCCATTTTAGGATGACGTGCATTTAGAGTTCATCCAAGAGTCATAGACAGGCAGCAGGCACTAGGCCTCTCCCTCTTTCCTAACTTTTTTCAGAACTCAGCTTCAAGCCCTAAGATATCCATTAGATAAGGCTTTGCATCCTGGACCAACAGGATGGGGAGTTGGGAAGGGGACTATGCTAGAGGAGCATGAGGATGGTAGCTGTATAGGGGAAGAGAATAGGGATTTTTTGAAACCAGGGACCTTTACAACCTCTGTCATGCACCAAAATGCTACACCAGCCATTTTTGTCTTTTCTCGATGTTGGAATTTTATTCTGCAGAACTGAGTATTAAAAAACAGTTTTGTGCCAGGCAGTGGTGGCACACGTCTTTAATGCCAGCACTTGGGAGGCAGAAGCAGGCAGATCTCTGTGAGTTTGAGACCAGCCTGGTTTCCAGGACAGCTAGGACTGTTTACACAAAGAAACCCTCTCTCAAAACAAATAAACACAAATCAGTTTTGTTTTCTCTAGTCTCTTGAATTTGTTGTTACAGAGAGAGGGTGGTGTTACTCAAAAAATGAACAACCCAAGGACCCACCCACCATCAAAGACTATTTGTTCTCCATACTATCTCGACTACCCTATTGCTTGTTCAATTTTACCTCTGGGTAGAGAGGAAAGCAGAATGTATGGGAAGGCAAGATCAGGCTTGCCCTGGCATAGATTAGGTGTTAACTAGGACCTGTGGACTTGAAGTTGTATCATGTGGGTGCTGGGAATTGAACTTTCGTCCTCTGGAAGATTAGCAAGTGCTCTTAACCACTGAGTCATCTCTCCAAACTCAGCCACTCATATTTGATCCCAGAGTAAATTCTCTTAATCCCTTTGAGAATTGTGATTCCCTCCACCACCCCCAGCCTCGTGTGTGTCACCTTGATCCCGACCCATCTCACCTTAGTGAGCACGTACATTAGAGTGAGCAGCAAGGGAATGATGACACGCCGTACATCCTCCCTTTCTGCCTGGAAAACAGGAGATCCTAGCATAATGCTGGGCGGGTTGCTCCAGGGACCACCACATCCTAGCTCCAGAGGGCAGGTTAGGCTGGGGGTAATGGGGAATTAGGTGGAAGGCAGTAATTTATTATGTCAGGGGAGTGGCCTGCTATGGAGAGGGGAAGAAGGGAAAAGGGTAGAGAGTAGCAAGGGCAGATGGAGGAATCCTTGTGCAAGGCAGGGCAGATAGAGGAATTCTTGTGCAAGGGCAGATGGAGGAATCCTTGTGCAAGGCAGGGCAGATGGAGGAATCCTTGTGCAAGGCAGATGGAGGAATCCTTGTGCAAGGCAGATGGAGGAATTCTTGTATAAGGCAGTTAGGATGAGGAAGCAGACAAGGCCACAACCTGGAGTGGCATCTTCCAAGCAGCAACATGCAGGACATGAATATTTTTTGAAGATGTATTTATTTATTATGTATATAGTGTTCTGCCTGCATGTATTCCTGAGCACCAGAAGAGTGCACCAGAACCAGATCTCATTACAGATGGTTGTGAGCCACCATGTGGTAGCTGGGAATTGAACTCAGGGCTGGAAGAACAGCTAGTGTTCTTAACCTCTGAGCCATCTCTCCAGCCCCCGAGATGGATAATTTTAAATAGTATAAGGATAAGCCTTAACGGTTGCACACATGTGTGCAGAATATACACATCTTTTATTTCTGCCCAGCAATGTGGGTTTTCCATTTATGGTCATGCTAATGGGGTTTCTTTTTTAAATATGCTAATTCAAGTAACAATGGGATTGGATAGATAGAAAATAGTATTGAGCTAGAAGTCAATGAAGAAGATGCGCCCGGGAAAAATCAAGCATATGGCTCACAAATGACCCAAGTTTGGGAGCACAGAGCTGCACAGAGCTGCACAGGTGGGCTCCCAACCTGATGGGCTCCTCTCTTCACTCCACCCCTGCTGTACCCCTCAAGCTCGGGCACCAACCTTCTCCAGCTCTCTGAGCAGAATTCGTACCAACACAGAGCTCCTTCCTGGATTTCTCTCCACCTTCTTATGCAGAGACCATCTCCACATGCCTGGGTCAGGAGAAAGGGGGACCCACCATGGCTGAGTAGGCCCAAGGCTCTTAGAGGCTGTTCTTCTGAGCCCAGGCCCTAGAGTGTGATTGTCCAGCCTCATCTGACCTGTAGTCAGCGCTGACTCAGGTGCGTGTGGCGAGCTCCTCCATCCTCCCATGCTCTTTCTGGACAATGAGCTCCCATAAAACAAGGGGAGGAGCCCAGGAGGGGAGAGAGGGAGGTGTGTGTGTGTGTGTGTGTGTGTGTGTGTGTGTGTGTGACACGTGTGCGCACACGCAGCGACGATCGATCGCGCGCGCATGCGCGCGCACGTGCACACGCACACGCAGCGACGATATGTGCAAGCTGAGAGCCCCAGCCACCTTCTGAATGTTTCCAGGTCCTAGAGGAGAGTTTTGTTTGGAAGTGGGAGTGGAAAAGGTGACCAGGAAAGAGGGTGGCAGGGCCCCATTACTGCCTGCAGTATGGCAGCCCAGTCCCTCTTACCCGAGACCTCACTTTTTTATTGTTTCAATTACCCACCACCATCGTAGTATGATCTCAACATATTAACTCTGGGAGGAGTTGATCAGGAAGCCGAGAAGCCTTGGATAGATTTTCAATAAGAAGATGGCTAGGCTGGAAACCCCTCACCTTCCAGGAATGCCTGGAGCAGTGCTGGCAGGATGGGACCAGGGGTGGGGGCAGGGGTGGGGTTAGAGGTGGGGGGATGGAGTGGGGAGGTAGGGGGTGTCAGGAGTGGTTGCCTACCCCGGTTACTCTGGAGGGCCGGGGCTGGGGTGTTGAGCTCTCTGAGCACAGCCTGTACACTTCTCTGGAAGTCCAGCTCCACATCTGAAAAAAAGTGGGGGAACCTTGAGGTCAGGCGCTGTGGTGCTCACTCCATCTGTCCTCACTGCTGGCCCCACCCCTATCCTCGGGAGAAGATTCTTAGCCCTTCTATAAACCTTAAGAAGTTCCAATGGTAAGCCATCAAGAAGTTAGCAGCCAACATACTCTGAGCTGGAAGACAGGATTTCTATCAGTATTTCTGTGTTCTTTGTAAAACCAGCATTTCGAAAAGGCAATTCAGTCCTTGCTTACTTTCGTCTTTTTTTTTTTTTTTTTTTTTTTTTTTTTTTTTTTTGTGGTTTCAATTACCCACCATCAACTATGGTCTTAACATATTAAATTGAAAGTTCAGATATAAATAATTTATGAGTTTTAAATGGTTTGTTGCTCAGAGGAACATGGTAAAATCCCTCAATTTCCTCCTCCATTTGTCATTACTAGTCATATCAATTACCAACTAAACTATCTTAATATAGCAGTGCTTGTGTTCTGATAACTTAAAAAAAAAATCGGTGTGTGAGCTGGGTGGTGGTGGTGCACATCTTTAATCCCAGCACTTGGGAGGCAGAGGCAGGGGGATCCCTGTGAGTTCAAGGCCAGCCTGACCTACAGAGTGAGTTCCAGGACAGCAAAGGCTACACAGAGAAACCTTGTCTTGAAACCCAGTCCCCATAAAAAGTTTTTTTGGTGTGTGCATGTGGGCATATGGCATTTGCATGTGTATGTATGTGTATGGAGGCCTGAGGAGGCCTGACTTACCCAGGATTTCCCTGAGGTGTTGTTGGAGATGGAGTTAAAAAAGAAAATGACGATATTCAAAATCTTGAATCCCTTCAAGTGATGACCTACCAGTTTCCAAGCCAGATTCTCTCATCTGCCTCTTACATTAGCCAGATAAGACAGGTTAAGACTTAAAATTAAAACAATTGCCTCATTTTCTAATTTTACTTTATTACTGTGTGTATGTGTATATATGTTGTATATATAACTAGGCTGCATGTGTTTAACTATGTAAAGATGTGTTGCATTGTTTCACCTTGCCTGCCTACAGCACCTAGTAAAGAGCTAAACGGCCAATAGCTGGGTATAGAAAGGGTAAGAGGGGCTGCCAGGCAGAAGGAATAAATAGGAGGAGACATCTAGGCTTGGGAGAAAGGAGAAATGAGAGAAGGGCCAGAGAGACGCCCAGGACAAGAAGCCAGCTAGACATAAAGACATAAAGAAAGTAAGAAAAGCTAAAAAGCTCTGAGGCAAAGCATAGATGGGAACAGACAGGTTAAGTTATAAGAGCTAGCAAGAAAAGAGCTAAGCTACGGCTGAGCATTCAAAACTAATAAGTCTGTGTCATGATTTGGGAGCTGGTCGGTGCCCCCCCAAAAAGCCTGGTACAATGGTGGGCATGTGGAGGTCAGAGGGCAATCCTAGACGATGGTGGGCATCAGAGGTCAGAGGGTAACTTCCAAGAGCCTATTCTGACCTTCTATCAGGGGTTTTGGAGATGAGGCTAAGGTGGTTAGGCTTTCAGGCTCTTTTGTTTACCATGGCATCTTGCCAGCCTAGGACGAGAGACTTTGCTTGTTTAGTTTCTTAGTCTTAGAGACAGGGTTTCTCTGTAGCCCTGACTGTCTTGCCTTGGAACTTCTTTGTAGACCAAGCTGGCCTTGAACTCACAGAGATCCACCTGCCTTTGTCTTCCAAGTGCTGGGATTAAAGGGTTGCACCATCATGCCTGGCTCAGGTGGAAACTTTTGATTCCTACATCCTTGTTCATCATGGAATAGGTCATAGAAGACAGGTTTTGGGGGACATCTACAATCCTTAAGTCACCTTACATTTGAGAGAGAAAAAATGGAATCAGGATAGAGGGAGAGAAAATGATGGGAAAGTGAGAGGGGAAAGAAGCCCTCACCCTGAAGTGTACTTGGAGCCGAGAAGCAAGAATTCTATCAAGAGTATGTGCCGAAAGGCTGTCTGCACAGACCGCTCTTCCTCTTTATACAGACGCTTCCTGTGACACCAGCGACGATCCAGGTTAGGACCTGAATGTATTTGGTCTTGGGTGAGCCTTACTCCCTTCCCCAATCAGAGTCTGAGAAGCTCAAACAAGACTATTAACCTTGTTGACAACTGAAGATTCCAGACTGTGATCACATGGATTGTAACCCTTCAGGAGCTCCTCAGGACACCCCCACGCCCACCCCATGAGCACATTTAGATTCCTTAGTCACCATTTAAGGGTAATAGCTTCAAAGCCACCAAAGTCCTGTATGTGACAATTGTAAAGACGGTGGAGTGGGGCTGTTTTGGAGACTCTCACGCCCGTGCTCTTGGGGATGTCTTGTCTTTCTGGGCATCTCTTTCCTGTAAACCTCTATAAAATATCTTTATTTTTTTTTAAAAAAGTCATATAAATATGGTCCCTGGTCGTGATAGCAACATTGCTTGATTTGCACTGTCCCTTGATTGTCGCTGCTAGTGACACTGTTCCACGCTTCGCAAAGCCTTTCTTTTCTGGGCCTCACTCTTGGCCTCTGTCCTGTTCATCCCACTTTCGTCAAGAAACCCCACAAGTCAACTCAGAGAGAATCCCTGGCCTACATACTCCTAGTCACCTTTGATGTATATAGACCTGACCTGCCTTTGGCAAGGACCCTGCTAAGTCTTAGGAAATTCCACCGAGTCCTCACGCTGCTCCAAGGCTGGGAACCCCCAGATGCCTTTCTGTATTCTGTATTCTCTCTATCTGTCAGTCTTGAACAGTCTTTCTTGCCATTTTGACAAGTGTCAGAGTGAAATTTTTTTCCTTAATAAGGATATATTGACACAGCAGACAGATGAAGATGGAAAATATGCAAATGATTCAGCAAAGTGAGGAAGCCTTGAGGACATGCGCCACTGGCCCTCACTGCTGGGACTTTAAATGATGCTGTCCAGGTGGCTGCGCCTCGAAACCTGCCAAGCTTCGTGCTTGCTGGCCAGTACAGAGCTCAGCAGGGTTTTCACAGTTGCTCCTGAGAGACATTCTTTGATGGCTAATTTTGGCTCCAGGCTCCAGGCGATCCAACACTGTGGACCTGTTCTCCTGATCCCCGCCCCCCTCTCTGTCTCTCTCTCTTTCATGCATGCATGCACGCGCATGCTTACACACACACACACACACACACACATACACACAGGCACGCACAGGCACGCACGCACGCACGCACGCCAGCCCCACACTCAGGCACTTCTTCCTCCTGCTCTCCACCACTTTGTGTCTCACAGGTGTTTCCTTGAGCAAACCCTTTCCCATCTTGGTGTCTGCTTCTTGGAGGATCCAGACAAGGATAGGAAGGATGGGAAACACCCCCCACAAGCACAGATTTCCCTTGCAGTAACTTCCGACCAAGAGTGTTTTTATACACAAGTAATTTGTCTTCTCTAGTCAACAGGCAACACAAACCACATACCTCAGGGCTTCCCTTTTTGGTTTGGCTGCCAAGAAACTCACAGCCCAATTAGAGTCCAGTTCCAAACATCAGCTCATGTCAAAGGGCTGGGCCTCTCTTCTTGCTTCCTCTTTGCTGCCTCAGCTTTGTGTTGGTTTGTTTTATACTTTAATTGTCTTGGGTTACTTTAGAAGGATAGATAGGAGCTACATATGTAAACATCAAGAGATGGTAGCTCAAGTTGAACCACTGAGGCCAAGCTATCCTCTGCCCTGGTGGCCATCAGGCAGGACACAGGTAAAGCCTCTAGAGGATAATCACCATCTCTGAAGCCCCCACCCCCACTTTCCTCCCAGCTGTCCCTGTGAGACACTTGTGACCATCAAGGCCTAATTCCCAGCTTTCCTCAGTCTGAAGGTATTCAAAAGACAACAGACATGTAAGCCCACCTGGACACCCTGCTGAGCAGGACTACATCTCTGCAAATTTACCAGGAAGTCACTTAGCCTGGCCTGAAGAGTGGTCCAACCTGACCTCCCAACTAACCATCTTTTCCTTGCATGAAGACGTAATGAACTATTGCAAGATGAGTTATTAGTAAATTAATTGGTATTTTGTCTTTCTTCTTTCCTTCCTCTCCCTCCTTTATGCCTCTTCATCGTTGTTTCTCTTCCTTTTCTTTCTTCCTTCCCTTCCCTCCTTCCTCTATTCGTTCTTTCCATGGCTCCTTCCTAATGTCCCTCCCTTGAGCTCTTCCTTCTTTCTTTTATCCCCCATTCTCTTTCTCTCCCTCCTATCTTCCCTTCTTTCCTTTCCCCCATTGTCGTCTTGATGTGGACTACATGAAAGATTTCAACCAGTGACAGTTCTGATCTTTCTCTTTGTCTGTTTCCCATGTTTCAGAGCAAAACTGGGAAGCTGACCTTGGAGACAATCCCCAGCAAAGGCTGTTCTTTTTTGCTTGTTTGTTTTTTGTTTGTTTGTTTTTCAAGACAGGGTTTCTCTGTGTAGCCCCGGTTATCCTGGAAGTCAATGTGTAGACCAGGCTGGCCTCAAACTCACAGAGATCCACCTGCCTCTGCCTCCTGAGAACTGGATTAAAGGCATGTGTCACCACCACTCCAAATGCTGTTTTTAAAAGCTTAAACAGACTCAGACTTTGGCCCACAGCTGGCTTACTCACAGTCTGTTCAGGCTTGTGCAGTATTTCCTGAAAATGGAATTAATTGCTGATGTTCAAGTACCAGGAAGTTTGTATAAAAGTTTGTGTGCCTGCTTGGCATTTCTTGCAAGTCAGAAAATCTGTTGACCCTGGAAGTGTCTTTCCAATATGGAATGATTGACAGGGGCTTGCAAACAGTTGGCCCAGGATGTGGTGCAGCTTCTTTGCTTTTCCCCCAACTCATATCTTTGTCTTCACTGGTTTCCATTCTCTGCCTGACCCCCAAGACCCCAGTTATCTAACTGAGCTGACCTGGGTTGCCCTAAAAGAGACAGAGTGAAGGGTAATGTTCTCAGTTCAAAGAGGCTAGACTCCTCAAGATCAGGAGAGAAAAAGAGTTATGGGGCCATAGGGAACAGGTGCACCTGAGCACCAAGTGCTGTATCTTTGGATGCCATACATAAACCTCCTGAATCAACTTTGGCAAGAGCACAAGAATGGATCCCAAAGTAGCCTCCATCTCCCTCTAGGCCACACAAGCCTGGACAGCTGATTCTGGAGGCCCCAGCCAAATGGACAGAAGAGCACAGCTTCTTCTCAGGCCTTGTAAACCCAGCTCCAAGGAGGGAGAACACACCCTAAGAGATGACACTAGAATTCACACTGATCTTGATATTAGTGGATATTACCATTAGGCATTATTAACAATTCAGGACAATGCTAAATGTTCATCAAATCAAGATAGACAGGAGGATTACATTTCCCAGATACCCTTGCTGAGAGCTATGCAACAAATTCTGACCAATGGAATGTGCTAGAAGTGAAGCCTGTCATTTTTAGGGCTGGTGATAGAATTTCCTACATTATACCCATACTGTTCCCATTCAGCAGTGGCCTTAAAGGACACATGTTAGAGATGATGGTGCCACAAGATTGAATTCTCAGACCTCAGAAGATTGCTTAGAGCCCAGATTGGACTATGATTAAGTGTAAAATGAGTATTATTGTGTTATTCTGGTAATTAAAGTAATTTGTTACAATAGCTAGCATTCTTTGACTGATGCACAGATATAAAAAGTATTTCCCAATGTACAATTAATGTGATTCTGAGCAAGAGTCCTGTGATGTTGGTAGGTAAAATGTTATTTTGTTTAATAGATTCCAGGTCTTGTCCAATTTTGCCTCTTTAACTGCCAAATGTCATATCTCCAGGGACCCTAAGAAAGATGGAGAGGTAGCTAAGTGATTAGGAATGCTGGCTCTTCTTTCAGAGTACACAGGTTCAATCCCAGTACCCAAATAGTGGCTCACAACTATCTGTAACTCCAGTTCCTGTGGATCCAATATCCTCTGCTAGTCTCTGTGGACACCACACACTTGAGTGGCATGCAAATATACATTTAGGAAAAACATCCACTCGCATAAAGTAAACACTTCTAAAAATTAAAAAAAGAAAGCAATCCCCTAACTTATAGACAGGACCCTAGAGCCCCCCTTCCCACTTTATGGGTTGGGCAATTAGGCTTATAGGGGGAAGGTTATTTATTCAAGGCCACAGAGCTGTTAGACATAGAACTTGCTTGGCCAAATGTTCTCTTTGAAAGTGGAAATCTTCAAATTAAGTCAGACTTAGGGAGACAAACATTGCATGTTTTCTCCCATAGGCAGAATCTGGATCTAAATAGGCATGTGAGAGAGATGGGGGGGAATAAAAAGGAAATTATGAAAGGGAAGGAAGAGTTCTAACTGGAGTGGGGGGGCAAGAGTAGATAATGGAACATATATAAACACGTATGATAGGAGCAGTAGGAGAAACTTAAAGAACTTGGTAATAAACCTTAGCAGTTATTTTTATTTTTTTCTGTTTGTGTTTTTCACACCGTGGCTGACCTGCACTTCACTCTGTAGGCTAGGCTGGCCTCGAACTCACAGAGATCTGCCTGCCTCTGCCTCCTGAGTTCTGGGATGAAAGGTGTGCACCACCACCGCCTGGCTGCAGTTCTTATTATTCACTGTCCAGCTCAACAACATGCAAGCAGTTGAGGATGCACATAAGTGTGTGTTTGTTCCCTTCTCAAGAAGTTCTCACACTCAGGGTATCACATCCCCTGGTGGGGCAGATGGTTTGGTCTAGGCCTGGAAAAATGCTCATCCCACAACATTGGCTTCCCTCACTGAGCAGCCAGGCCTTCTGGACATACCCTCCCCCAACCCCACACACTGACCTGAGCTCTCCATGGGGCTTGTCTGGGGTGGGAAGGGTGTGGTTGTGTCCAGCAGCAGAGTGGAAAGTAGAATGGTGGTTTCTCGGCAGAGACTGTTCTGCAAAATAAGAGGCAGCTTGTAAATGTGAGTGGTGGGAAAGTGCAGGATGGATATTCAGGACACAGGCTTGCCAGCTGCAGTTTAAAACTCAGGTAGTAAACATGGGGCAGCTACACCAGCGTTGCAAACAGCAAACCAGAGCAGGAAGAGTGTAGAAGGAGCCAGAACTCTAGCAACAAAGTTTCTGTTAACCCCAGCCAGCCCCAGCCAGCCCCAGCCAGCCCCAGCCAGCCCCAGCCAGCCCCAGCCAGCCCCAGCCAGCCCCAGCCAGCCCCAGCCAGCCCCAGCCAGCCCCAGCCAGCCCCAGCCATTAGGAGGACAGTACATTGAAGGCTCTTAGAAAGAGTTTGGGGTGGGGACACCTGAGAGATGACTCAGGAGTTAAACACATGCACTGCTCTTTTGCGGGACCAGAGTTTAGTTCCTAGCATCCTTATTGGACTGCTCACAACCACCTTAAACAAGTCAGGCTCAGGGGATCTAATATGCTCTTCTGGCCTCCATGGACAGCTGCCTTCCCAGGCATGCCCACAATCACACACATACACACCACTGAAAATAAAACCTTTCAAAAAGAAAAAGAGCATTCTGTTGCTTGTCTGAGCTGCAGAAAGGAGCTCTTTAAGTTGGAGAGATGGGGAGTGTAAGGGAAAAGGGCCAGCTGAAGTAACAAACCCTGAGTAGAGCCAAAGAAACACACTTTGGCCCTGCAACTAGAACCAAAGAAATGCATCCTGACCCCGAAACCAGTGCCAAAGAAACACACATTGCCCCTGGAATCAGAGCCATCAGAGCCAAAAGGCTAAAAAGGACCAGTGAAAGAAACACACTTTGGCCCTGAAACCAGAGCTAAATCTGACCCTAAACCTGTGCAGAAAACCAACCAATCCCTGAGCATGGGATCTAGCCAGTCTGAGCTCAGGGATTGAAATCTGACCAATCCCCACCCTGGAAATCTCCCTGTTCTGTTTGTGGCTATTCGGGGCCGCACTGCTGTCCTCTGCCACTTTGGCTGAGGACAGCCACTCTCCTGGATTCTTCCCTCCCAATAAATCTCTTGAATGAGGTTTTGGTGAGACCTTTTGCTGGAGCAGAGACACAGAGATGACCCAGAGCTAGAAGAGCAGGTCTGTAACACTTTTCACCAGGGAAATCTTCCCTTGGCAAAGAGAAGTTGTTACATTCCACTCTCTGGGGGACTGGAGCCAAACTGTAACATCTTTGCTGGGGAAAACCTCTCCTGCCAGAGCAGAGCTGATACACTGGGGAAGCCTTTCTCTGGAGCAGGGCTGTAAGCTGCTATGCTTACTGTGACTCGTGGTTTCCTTGCCTGAGTGCCAGAATACCTTTCCATTCCAGCTGTAACACTCAGTATTTTGGCTCCCTAGTGCCAGAGTTCCTGTCCCATCTCATCAGAGCCATCAAAATGCTTATATTGAACTCCCTTTCTCTCTTCCATTTTCTACTGTAGCCCCAAGCACCAGTGTAGAGCAATGGTGATGGAGGTGGTGGCTGTGCATGTGCAAAACTCAGAGGAATGGTAGTGCTTCTCTCTAACTAGAGGGTTTTTGGTCCTGAGGACTGGAGAGGAATCCCTGTTACCTCTTCTTTCTGTCAGATGAGCAACAACAAATAATGAACAAGACAGATAATAATAAAATGGCACACCTCCAGACGCAACAGTAACTACATTAAATGTAAATGGTCTAAACTCACCAAGAGAAGATTGTCAGATGGATAGCATGAAGGAAGGGTTAGTGGTTACTTGTTTGTTTTGAAATAGGATTTCACTATTAGCTCTGGCTGACTCCAAACTAGTTATGAATTTCAGGCTGATTTCAAACTTGCAGCAATCATCCTGCCTCTGCCTCCCAAATGCAGAAATTGGAAGAGTTCACCACCATGCCCAGATTGGATGATATAAAGGTAAGTGGAGCTAAGTGTATGTAGTCTACAATAAATTTGCTTCAGATACATTGGTTTATTTATAAGCTAGAAGCAAACAAACAAACAAAAAAGTGATATCATGAGAACACTGAGAAAAAGTCAAGGAATCTAGATGACTATGAATACAAGATAAAGTACATATCAGGGCAATAAATTTACTAGGAATAAAGAGGGACATTATAAAATTACAAAGGCTCAATCATGAGGAAGATGCATTGAATCCTGTCTCTGTATAAGTGTGTCCACCCATTCACCACTGTAACTTCAGAATCCATGAAAGAATACCTAATAAAATTAAAGCATAAGTTGGAAAATCTACAATTATAATTGGAAATTTCAGCGTGTTTCAGTAACTGACAGGTCAAGGAGAAAAAAAATCAACAAGAATATAAAGAAATTGGGGTGGAGACATGGCTCAGTGGTTAAGAACACTGGCTGCATTTGTGAAGGACCAAGGTTCAATTCCCTGCACCAAATATCAACTCAATGTCTGTAACTCTAGTTCCAGTGGATCTGATACCCTCTTCTAACCTCTATGGGCACAAGGCACACATGTGGTGCACATGTATACATGCAGGTAAAACACATATGCACAAAACAAAATGAAAAAAAAAATCTTAAAAATAAGATAAAATTAAAATGTATCTTTTCAAAAATAATATAGGGACATAAAATAACATTAAATAACACTACCAATCAACTGAATTTAATTATGCTTATAGAATCCTATATGTAATAATCACTGTATAAGAATTATTTTCAAGTGTACATAATGCATTCATCAGGATAGGTCATAAGCAGGTTGTACAACAAATCGTAATAAACTTAAAATGATTGAAACCATACAAAGTAAGCTCACAGACCCTAATAAAAGTAAACCATAAATATAACTCTTGAAAAGTCTTTAAATAGCTGAGTGTTGGTGGTGTATTAATTTCCAACACTCAGGAGGTAGAGGCAGGAGGATCTCTAAGTTCAAGGCCAGCCTGGTCTACAAAGCAAGTTCCAGGGGGGAAAAAGTCTTCAAATATATAAAGCTGATGGGAGATGTCATTCTGTAAATATGTTTCTCTTATTGAGTAATGAATAAGGCCCTGTTGGCTAATAGGGAAGCAAGATAGGCGGGACAGGGAGGATTCAGGGGAAGTAATGAGAGACTCAACATGTAGGACCGAAAGAGCAGAACTCCATACCCTCTCTGGGGTAAGATGAGACCACGTGGAAATACTTAGATGAATAGAAATGGGCTAATATTTAAGACAGAGCTAACCGATAAGTAATGCCAGTAACAAGCCAACAGCTTTATATCTAATACAGCGTCTCTGTGTGTTATTTGGGGCTGGCACGGCGGTGGGACCAGGCTGGTGGGAAAACATGCTCATAACACAAAGCAAAAAAAATTTTGAAGTGTTTTTACAATATTTAATTTTAGTGTATATGTGGAGGGAGGGGCAGAGGCTGTGCATGCGATTGCAATGCTCATGGGATCCAGAAGAGAGTATCAGACCCCTGGGAGCTGGAGTTACAGGTAGTTGTGAACCTTGCAGTGTGGATGCTGAGAATCAAGCCCGGGTTCTCTGCAAGAACAGTAATTAGCTGCTGAGACATCTCCTCAAGCCCATCATCCTGTTTCTAAGTCATCCGGGAGCTCAGAAAACACAACATAGCTAACACTGCATACTGAACCTGCAAGATAAGAATTGTAAAATGTTCAGGGTGGTGGTGGTGCATACCTTTAATACCAGCACTCTCGACACAGGGATCTCTGTGAGTTCAAGGACAGCCTGGTCCACAGAGAAAGTTCCAGGACAGCCAAGGACACATAGAGAAACTCTGCTCAAAACAAACAAAAACCATTGTAATGCTAGTAAGAAGACCTATGTCAATAGAGAGGTGAATCAGGCTTACAGTTTGGAGATCTGTTAAGATGCAAGTCTCCTAGGCTGAGTAATAGGGAAGTGAATCCTAACAAAAATGTCAGCAGGACTTTATGTAGCTATCTATAAGTAGAAGCTAAGATTTATAGGGACCGACAAAGAAATTGGAGTAGCCAAAGAATATGGGGGGGGGATGGTGTTGGAGAGATCTCTTTAAAAAATGATTACAACGCTTTTAGTGAAAGGCCAGACATGTAGATCACAGTATTTCAGATTTCCCCGGTTTTTCTTATATTTATGTACTTTCTTCTTTCACATCACTATTACTATTATTATTTTACTTTTTGAGCATGTGGAGGGTGTGTATGTGTGCGCGAGCACACGGGCTCATGTTTGCTATAGTGTGAATGTGAGAGGTCAGGAGACAACTTGCCATGGTGGATTCTCTCCTTCCACCTGTGGGTCCCAGGGATCGAACCCATTCTGTTGCTCCTGGTTACCAACCTCAGTCTGACTTCAGGGTCTTTGCACAATTCTGCCTGGAGCAATTATCCTCCAGTTTCCCCCACAGCTGGCTCCTCCTCAACATTTGGGTCTCATTTTAAAAGGTTTTTAGCTGGGCATTGGTGGCACAGACCTTTAATCCCAGCACTCGGAAGGCAGAAGCAGGCTTCTGTGAGTTTGAAGCCAGCTTGGTCTACAGAGCTAGTTCCAGGACAGGCTCCAAAGCAATACAGAGAAACCCTGTCTCAGAAAAAGAAAGAAAAAGAAAAAAAAAAAAAAAAAAAGGTTTTTAAGTCTTATGTGAATGTGTGGGTGCCTGCACGAAGTTATGTGCACCACATGTGTACAGGTCAGATTCCCGGGGGCTGGAGCTACAGGCAGTTGTGAGCCACTAGGTGTAGGTCTTGGGAACCAAACATGGGTCCTCTACAGGAACAGCGAATGTTTGTAATCTCCAAGCCATCTCTCTATTCCTCAGAACTCATTTTAAAGGTCACTTCCTCCTGATATCCTGATATCTCATGCAAGACTATCTTGCACAAACTTTGATTTCAGTCACAGCATCATCGGGAGTTTCCCCATATCTGAATATCTGATCATATTCTTCTTCTGATCATCATCTTCTCCTCCTCCTTCTGATTAGCATTTGAACTAAGCAGTACCTG